TTTGCAAACCAAAGGATGTCTGATATGGACAATTTTTCTTAAAATTTTCATCTCAAAATACAGAACACATTCCTTGTCTTTGGGACCTTCAAAAACTAAATGTACATATTCCTAAACCATAACCTCAAGGGCTGAATTCATTGTACAGTTACAGCCAACCAACTTGATGTTTATCAATGTATCTTCAATCCTGGAGGGTACTTTTTTTATATCTTTGTATCATCCACCACAGAAAAACAGCCAAATATCTCTTCACTATCCTCTCTCCTGCATCAAATGAGTAAGTCTTTATTTATTCATATATTTCCTTTTTATTTTTGCTTTTATTACCTCAGTTGCAAAACATTATTCCGTCAAATAATTTATTAGAAATGGGGAAATAACAATTTACCTTACTTTTTCTTTTGAAGTATTATGGTTTTATCCATCACTAATATTCAGACTAGCAAAGATTTTTCTCATGACTGCAAGTGGAAATTTAAAGAACAATAAACACTGAACCCTCCACCTTAACCTTTATATTTAAATAATTAACTGGATTCTGCAGTGATCATTACTTTAATTATATATAGAAAACGTGGACAGAGAAATGTGTTTTGAATCACAAAAAGCAATAATAATCCTGATTACTATATTTAGATGTTGCTTTGGCTCAACTGTCTTCACAAAATTAGAATACAAATCAATTTTCTTTCTTGAAATCATCACAACTAATATCATAAGTAGTAGAACAAGGAGAAATAGAACACCCCCTTGTTGTGGAGCTTCTTAGGTTGTGGGACATACACAAGATTAAGCTTTAACACAGAAGAGTAATATAGTACTGTTTTTAAGAGGCTGTATATAAATGGTAGAGGATGAAACTGATGGCTCAAGTCTAAATAATACTACATATCTCACAACTTGTTGAAAAGCACTTTTTCCATTGGGGGAGATTCACAGCTGCTGAATTTTCTGCAGTTAATAGAGTCCTTTGATTCACAGCAGTGCCCCTTGCACGAAAAATACTGGCCTTTGTGTATTACCAGAAACTAATTTTCTATTTGGCTGAAAAGGGAAAAATTGGGTTATTGCTTCTCCCTCCTACAGAGCTTTTCATTATGCCTGATGCACTCAACTTTTAAGCTCTTCTGAGAAAAAAAATAACTGAAGAGGCAAGAGGTAGAAAAATGAGCTTGTTAGCACATTAGAAGTGAAGTATCTTGGTGGGCCCCAGAAATTCCCAGTGGTATGTTAACTTATCACTCTATGCATGCTGGCACTGATAGTCTCCCAATTGAGCACTCTCTTTTCGCACCAAAGGTGCTGCCAGGAAGCAAAGGCTGAAGGCCCACAGGAGAACAGCCTGCTATCAAAACAAGCTGTTTTTAAAAGTCTGTTTGAATGGATTTAATGCTTTATGAAAAGCAGGGTGGAGACACCTACCTGCTTTCAAAATGTTCCTGTTTCAGGGGTCTCTAAATGAAACCCTTTTAAGGTTTATTTTATTATATGTAGTGCATAGATACAGAGAGGACAAAAGTGAAGCAAAGTTTGTTTTCAATGCTTGCAGTTTGAGTAAAGAGGTTGCAAAGATAGATCTTCATCATCAGAACTGCTACTATTGAAGGATAGCATTATCTTTTCTTACAAAGATGAAGGCACAGAAAATAACAAAATATAAATTGTCCTTTCAATTATCTAGAAGAAATGGGGTAAAATCTGTAAGTCCTGGCCAATCTGTATGAATTGTCTTAATCATTTCAGAAAAGCTCA